CACAGCCAGCATGGCTGGCTGGGGGATTCTGGGAGTTGAAGTCCACTCATCTTAAAGTGGCCAAGTTTGGACAACACTGCTCTAAGTGAACATTCCCCAGGAATCTCTCTGCCAGAGCAACATTGCGCTGCGAGTGCGACTCCAACGGGCCTTCCCTGTCTCAGCAGAGTGGGGCGAGCAGCGAGAAAGGGGTCGGGAAGATGTTCAACCTTCGTGGGCAGGGCGGTGGGAGGCCCAACGGGAGTTTGACTCTGAGAAATACTGAAACACACACACACACCCCGTACAAGAACACACCTACAAGCAAGCAAGCAAGTCTTCGTGATTGGCAAATTCTCGCAAGCTGGAGCTAAGGATGGTTTTTAAGGAATGGCTCAAGAGCTGCAGGACACTCCAGAGGGAAGCTCGCTCAGACGTGGGCCCAGACAGATCGTGGCTTGTCACCCAGATCTGGCCTTTCCTGGGCAGGGGCTGCCCAGACGAAAGCCCTTCTCACTAGAAGGGGGGAATACGGGCAGTGATCTATGACTCTGGGAAGTGCCTCCCTCGGGACACGGCAGCGGTTCTCTTCACGTGAGCCAGGCAGTTGGAAACGATCCACTTCTTGCTGGACAGAGCAAAAAAACCAAAATTGCTAGGCAGAAAAAGAAAGAAAGAATAAGGCAACCTTTTAATGGGCTCCAGAGGTCCTGCTCCACAGGCCTCCAGAGGGGAAACTACTGATTTAGGATACAGCCGCCAACTATGAGTCACCGTGCCCCAGCATGGACCGAACACTCACTCGGGGGGGTGGGACGGGATCTAAAAGGAAAATCCAAGTAGCAAGTCTGTTCAACTTCCACCAGGACAAGATATCTTGGCTCCCCACCGCAAGATATGGGAGGGGGGAACGCTCCTGTGCCATTTCCCAAAGTTGCTCAGATCTCTGGACATCCCAAAAGCAAGTTCCCTGCATTTTAGGCACACAGAGCCCAGGCTGTACTCCAAAATGCAACACGCGGGTATCGCAGGGAACCCCCCTCCCCGGTCACTTCCGTCAGCCTTCGAAGGATGCAAAGCGAGGGGATTCTGCCACATTTCTCCTGCAGGCCTTTCGGATCTGCACCGCTCCGGGGCCACGGGGGGAGCTGGACCAAGAGGCCGTGGAAAGGCAGGGCAGCCCCCCTCTCTA